ACATTGTAGTCGCACAAATTTCAGTGTGACAAAAACTTCGTCACGCAAAGATCGTGAAGAAAGACTTTGCGCTACAAAAAATATTTGTCGCGCAAAGTTTTGCACGACGAAAAATATTGGTCGTGCAAAGTTTTGTGCGACGAAACAAATTATAAAAAAAATTTAAAAAATAAAAATTCCCGTGTCCCATTTTTGGTACCCGCCCAAATTTTTAGAGTTTTGCGCGATGAATACTAATGTCGCTCAAATATTTGCGCAACGAAATATTTTGGTTTTTGACTTTTTGTTTTATTATTTCTTTAATATTAATTTAATTATATTAATTATTTCAAAATTTTAATTTTTAAATTTAATTTAATTTAATGATATTTTTCGTTACTTTAATTTAAATTGATATTAATTTAATTATATTAATTTTTTCGAATTTTTACTTTTTAAATTTAATTTAATTGTATGATATTTTTTAATTACTTTAATTTAAATTGACATATTCAAAATAAAATTACATATGAAAAATAGTGATCAAATTATCCAATAAATATATATATAATATTCAAAATGTACACATAAATTAACAAAGTACAATAATAAAATCCTAATACAAGCGTATTGTGGTGGTAGTGGCGGAGGATATGTTTTGATAGCTTTCTAATCCTCAACTTTAGCCGTCAAAGTCTCGATGATTCCACAACACAAAAAAAAAGTCAAAAAAAAAAAAAAAAAAAAAAATCTCTCCCCTAAAATTGTTATACCACAAATCCAACCCAAACTCCAATCCCTCCCCTTTACTCTACCCCAAACCCTACACAAACTCAAAACTAACTCCAAAAACACGTATTAATGAAAAAAATTTAAAATTTGGAGAGAATATACCTTTTGGCAAGATTGAGAGTGAGTGAGAATGAGAGAGAGAGAAGTGAGTGTGAGAGAATTAGAGAAGATAGTGATAGAGAGATGAGAGAGTGAGTGAGAGTGAGACATAGTGAAAAGAGAGATGAGAGAGTGAGTGAGAGTGAGAGATAGTGAAGAGAGAGATGATGAGAGATTAAGTGAAATGAGTGAGTGTGAGAGAAATAGTGGGATTTGGGGAGAGGGAAAGAGAGAGGAGAGGTAATAGTAGAGAAAGACATTGAGAAAATGGTGGAGGAGTTATTTTCATTTAAAAAACTGCATCACTTTGCGCGACGAACAATATTGAAAAAAGAAAAAAAAAAAACAAATGTGTCCCATTTTTGGTACCCGCCCAAATTTTGAAATTTTTGCGTGACGAAAAATACATATTGGTCAAGCAAAGTCTAAAAAATTATATAAAAAAATTTCCGCGCCCCATTTTTGGTACCCGCCCAAATTTTTGCACGACGAAAAATATATATTGGTCGCACAAAGTTTTGAGCGACACAAAATATTGGTGCACAAATTTTTTTTTTTTTTTTTTTTATATCCCGTGTCCCATTTTTGGTAGCTGCCCAAATTTTTAGAGTTTTGCGCGACGAACTGTTGGTCGCGCAAACTTTTGAGAGACGAAAAATTGGTTTGTAGCACGATATTTATAAAAATAATTGCTATGAATAATTAAAAAATAAAATTATTTTATTTTACGATTTAAAATATAAATAAGGTTAAAGCTACTTAATAAATGTATATACTATTCAATTTCTTAATTGTTATACGTACAAAATAAATAAATTTAAAGCTACTTAATAAGTAAATAAATATATATATACACATACCATTCAACGATCCAACCGTCAAACTTGTTTGTATATACTTCAAGATCATATACTCCAAAAATCGCAAAAACATTCAGAGACATAGTAACGGGACAAAAATTTCAACGATTATAAATGAAAAATCACGATTTAACGGTTATTTTAACTCCGATTTTGATGATTTTTTTACAGCTACACTCCTTGATTCTATATGAATACAATGAACTAATTTGATCGTCAATTTAAAATATTTACACTAGTGGATACCACAAAATCTTATGTTATATTTAACAAAATTATAAATAAACTCTTAATTGTTAGTGAATATATTGTTTTGATGGCATACGCATTCTACGAAATTAGTTTCAACGATCCAACCGTCAAATTTGTTTGTTTATACTTTGAGATCATATACGCCAAAAATCGGAAAAAATAAATGTTCAGAGATCAAGTAACGGGACAAAACTTTTCAATGGTTATAAATGAAAAATCATGATTTAACGGTTATTTTAACTCCGATTTTGATGATTTTTTTACTGCTACACTCATTTACCCTATATGAATACAATGACTGAATTTGATCTTCAATTTAAAATATTTACACTAGTGGATACCACAAAATCTTATGTCGTATTTAACAAAAGTATAAATAGACTCTTAATTGTTAGTGAATATATTGTTTTGATGGCATACACATTCTACGAAACTAGTTTCAACGATCCAACCGTCAAACTTGTTTGTTTATACTTCGAGATCATATACGCCAAAAATCAGAAAAAATAAATATTCAGAGATCATATAATGGGACAAAACTTTTCAAAGATTATAATGAAAAATCACGATTTAACAGTTATTTTAACTCCGATTTTGATAATTTTTTACAGCTACACTCTTTGACCCTATATGAGTACAATGAACTAATTCGATCGTCAATTTAAAAAATATATTTTCTAACAAAAACCCAATCCGAACAACAATAATATATTTTTCTAACAAAAATCTAATCCGATCTAAAATAATAAATTTAAAGCTACTTAATAAAAATATATATACCGTTTAATTTTTTAAGTGTTATGCATACAAAATAAAAAACAAAAATAAATTGGTTTAGGTGACGAAATGTTTGGATTATGCCATGCAAATATTTTTAAAAAGAATTTTTTTATTTTTATAAGGACTTTGCGCGACGAAGTTTATTGTTTTGTCACTCAAAGTCACTTTGTGCGACGAAAGACAATTCGTCGCGCAAAAGTTTGTCGCGCAAGGTTTTGAGCGACGAAGTTTTGAGTTTCGTCGTGCAAAGTGACTTTGAACGACAAATAATTTTTCGTCGCGCAAAATTTGGTCGTGCAAGGGTGATTTTTTACTAGTGTTAGAGAAAAGTGAACCCATCGCTCTAATAACTGCAAATACGTTTGCGTGGTTACATCAAAGTTTAGTCTACCCTTTCAATATTTAGATGAAAAGTATATTATCCATATAATATATGTATAAACTCTTGGCCAAGAGAGCTTGGCAGGGTTTGCCCATATGATCTTCTTCAACATCATGTTGCAAGTTGAACCTGGTCCCGTTAAAAGTTAAAAAAGGCAACAGCTGGCCATTGGCGACGTGATCAAAAGGAAGAAAATTGAAAGCGTAGGCTAAAAGAAGGGCATGGGCCAGCAACCACGCCAAGCAGCTCTCTGTAAAAGCACCCCAAATGTGAAAACACCCGTAAAGACTAGACATATATGTGGCCACTCCATCTACAATAATCAGATATTGTCTTCTTTTTTCTTTTTCTTTTTTTAACAAGCATCTGCGTTAGCGTTACAAGGGGAACTTTTAGTAATAATCACGAAACAAGAGTAACGTAAAAGAGACATCATGAATAATATCAGGAGCACCACATACCCGTCAAAAAAAACTCATCACAAAAAAGTGCAAAAACTGCTTAAGTCGATGGGCAACCCTATTTGCTTTGCTGGGCAAAAGGACAACCTTATATCACCAATGACACATCCTTCTAATTAGTGTATTTAACCTTCACTTGATTAAAGAAAATTCTAATATCAAATCTGATCAAGTAGTATTATTGAACTCAACCAAATGGTGCCAGATTCACTCAGCTATGTTGGTCTCACTCACTTTATACATCCTAAATTTTTAGGTATCATATGAAATATATATTGAATAATTTGATATTTTGTGGGAGAGAGAGAGAGAGAGCATATATGTCGACGTGGAGGGGGCAAGTGTCCTCAAAGGGATTAAGATACGCTACTCTTAAAAGGAGTTCCCACGTTAAAATCTTTGTATTTCTTTAATAACTTTCACATTTCTGGTGGTTGAATTTGCCTGCCGTGGGCCAAACGTACGTACCATTTCTTACTGTAAACGCTAATTTATACACCACCACAACAACAACACCACCAACAAAGTGTTTGATTTTGATGGAGCTGGTGGCTTTGTGGCGGGGGCCATGCCTGGAAGGCCAAGACTCCGTAAATCACATATCAAAGTATTTGATTAAAAATAAAAATAAAATAAAAACTTTTCTAAAAGGAAGAGAGAAGAAGAAGACCATATCAAAATCATAGACAGCGTGCTGGCCACTAAAACCCTTTATGCCACTATTGACCAAACCACCTTTCCATGAGATTCCCCAAACCCATCCCAACTCCATGGCCGTCCTAAGATTCTATGCCACCAATAAATTAGACAACGGCCTTTTTTTTAATTATAATTAATTAACCCATTAATTTATTTAACACGCTTCCATTTTTTATAATTAGCTTTTAATTCTTTTTAGCTGATCTCACCTTGAACTAACTAAGACACCAAATACCAAACCACCCCATTTCAAATTATTTGTACTTTTGTCTTTTGATTGACTAATTGTGGGTTAAGCATAGAGACAATGTTGATGGCCAACTTTAGTCAAAGTTAGACATTTGAATGATTAAGGATTAGCGGGAGTTGATTATGGATGATTTGAAAGTGAACTAAATTAAATTAGGGCATTTGCCCACAAAGATGATATTCAAAAATACAAAACCATCATTAAAACAACCTATTCAACTTTCAATAAAAATCAAGAAAGAAAATAAAATCACAAATAATTAATAACCCATGAAAATTCATTTACTTCATTCTATTCAAGCCAAGCACAATTATCTCCCTCCCTCCCCTATTTCAAACACAAGAGGACTCCTTACTCACAAACTCCATATTTCATGCACACGTGCCACAAAAAACCAATCACACGTGTGAAAATATATATGATCACCGATCACCGGCCACCGTCTATCAAGGCCTCCAAGCGCTGGCCCAAACCACGGGCTGATCCTTCCACGAAAGGAATATTCCAGCGCCGGCTTCCGAGCACTGTGTCATTGCCCAACCTTCCTTGTACCTCCTCAACAAGGCGCGTACGTCATCGCACACCTCATCACTAAACGTCACGGGGCTAAACCCGGCCCCATGCATTCGCCTTGACCAGCGAGCGGCGGTCTCGCGCCTTTCAACCGACTCTGACGGCGCGCAGGCCACCAAATCGACGACGGCTCGACCTGCTGCCCGCTCGAGCATCAATCGCTCGTTGCTGGTCCTGGCGAAGCTCTCGTCCAGCGCCTCGAAGTAAACCCTAAACCATCTCAAGCACTCTTGAAAGCCGTGGACAAAGTCAAGCCCGTCAACCCCAACGTCGAGATCAGCCTCTTCCTCCACGAGAGTGATGATCCTCGGTCTCAAGCTCCGGAACGCAGACACCAAATAATCACGCCGGTTTCCAACGGCTTGGATTGAGTGTAGAGTGCCAACACAGTTGACGGCCAGGGCCTCATCGTCTCTGATATCCAGCTCTGATAAATTCAGCTCGGAGAGATCGCCGGAGTGATGGACCGCGTTGAATTTGAAAGGCACGCCCATCAATCGGGCGAACTTCTCCATTCTGGCGCCAATTTCCTTCATTACTTTCTGCGCTGGTGCACCACCAGAGCTGTCGCTGGCTCTGGTGGCAACCACAGTAGTGAGGCGCAAGTGCGGCGTCTCATCAGTTCGGGTGGCCAGGGCCTCGAGCAGCGTCGGCCACTGGGTGCAGTAAGTGTTGCTGATGTCGATTATGTGGAGCTTGGGCTCTCCATCGAAGGCTTCCATGATTGCCCCATTGCACGCCACGTGTCCGAAAGTGGTCCAAGGGCTGACCTCCTGGAATTTGAGCACCATTTTTCTGGTGGACTCGAAGGAGCACGTTTTCTCCGAGGCGGAGATTAGGGTTCGGTAGCAGCGGTCGCCGGAGTCGGTCATGCGGCTGAAAAGAGCCTGGAGGAAATAGGAGGTGAGCTTCTGGTCGGTGTCGCCGTACGGGCTGCCGAGCTCGTTGAGCATCCACATGAGCTGCTGGACGCGGGAGCTGTTCTTGTCGGCGATGGCCTTGGCGGTCTCCAAGAGGAGCTCCGGAGCCCACTTGCCGTTGGAGAGCTCGAAGTTGATGAGGGCGGGTGAGAAGGAGAAATCTGTGGGTGTGGGAGTGGTTGTGGTGGTGAGGAGAGGGTTTGGGGTTGGCGGGGTTGGGTGGTTTGATGGGTAGTAGTGTTTGGAAGAAGACGAGGAGAAGTCTTCTTCATCCATGAAAAAGTTGAAGCATTCTTCGACGTCGTCGTTTTGGTGGGGGTAATTAGGGTGAGGGTTTTGATGAGGGGGGCTGAGGAAGGAGGATCTAGAGCTGCTGGAAGTAGTGGTGGTAGTTGTTGGTGTTGAGGTTCTGGTGGTGGTTGAGTTGTTGAAAGATTGATGGTGATCAGATTGGAGACTGACTAGTCTAAACAAGGTATCCATTTAACCTTCGAAGACCCACATCAATAAACTTAACTTTGAGAAAGAGAGAGAGAAAAGAGAAGGAGAGAGAGAGTGTTTGTGCTTTGGGTTGTTCGGGGACAGCAGATAGATGGGTCTTTGTGTTTTTAACTGTAGGAGACTGGGGGATAGAAAATGATTAGGATATCTTGAGGTTGGATTTTAGCTGGGTTAATTTCAATAACATAGGTTATAGGTAGGAATAAGGAGGTTTTGTTGGATAAGTAAAAAGAATATTGGCACCAATAAACTAATATCCATGATAACATTGAAAAAATAACTAATTATATAATATGTTATGCTATTTTTATACTATTGATTAGATGAAAATTTGTAATTAAGTGTCTCACAACTTGACATGTTTTACTAATTAAGCTTTACATGAAATGTAGGAAATTAATACGATTAGTGCATTATCTTGTCAAGAGGTGGACGATGAAGGTAATTGGGGAATCTTAAGTGGGTAACATTTGCTTTGCTTTTCTTTTCTTTTGGTGTAATCGATGAGGAATATGTAGTGGGGTTGGTTTCTTTTATAGCTTAGCTTATTCTTCTTTATGGGTCTTTTTTCTTTCTTTCTTTTTTTAACATGTATGGATGGACCAATCCAAGACTGAGTGAAATTATACTAAGTTTTTGGGTTGAACATAGAATGTAGAATGGACTGAGCTATATTGTTGAGAAATAGAATTCCAATCTGACAGAAAGACGAAAAAAGTCTGAGAAAAAGTTAACAGGGTCTAGATCACCAAATGGCTAGTGGATTAGCTTTTCATTCTTTGACTCTCTCTCTCTCTCTCTCTCTCTCTCTCTCTCTCTCTGTGGATTGGAATAGTTTGAGTGGGAGCAGGCGTGCCAATTGGGTTTTGGGGGGAGAGAGATGGAGACATAAGTAAAGCTGCCGGCGTGCATCATCATCATCATCAAAGCCACCATCACAAACCTTCAAAAAATAATAATTAACCCACTCACACTCACATTTCCTTGCCCCCCAAGTTCTAAAAAGCCTTCCCCCCCTTCAAACCCTGCCAAAACTCCCACCACTTTTTCCTTTCTTAGCTGTTACATTATCAGCCCCATACACCAATGTCTCATATCTTAATCCAGGTAATAACACCAAAATGTACCCTTCAGCAAAATCCAGGGGGGCATGCCTAGCCTTCCACTTCTTTTCCCCGCTTTTCCTTTCTTTTTTTCAGCCACTCATGATGAGATGTACATTTGATTGTTTATAAGCACACATGCTCTCTAATCTCACCCAACCCATAACACCACCAGGCTAGCTATAGCCCTGCTAGGCCTTTGATTTCTCTAGATTACCCAACCATCATTGTTCATAGACTTACTCATTGTATAGTTTGGTACAGTTCCAAAATCTCAAGAACAAAACCCGCTAGGCCAATCTGGTTCTTTATATACATACATTTATATATACACACACATATATATATATATATATATATGATTGCAACCCAAGTCCCCAAGTCAAGTCCCATCTTGATTTTTCCATTGTCCTAACCTTGTTGTTTTCAAGCTCAAACATAATTCCTTCTAGAGAGAAAATCTTTGTCTCCTCTTGGCAGAATAGGCTAGCTAGTTTTTCAAGTAATATATATTAAAGATTAGGAAAATTATATAGTTCTTGTTCTTATGTCAATTGTCAAGGTGAGTTATAATTTTCTTGTGTGGATTCTTCTTGTTCTTGGTTTTCTTTATGAATCATTAGGAAAACTCCATGTTTGGACTCTTTGTCCCTTGTTGAGATTGAGAGTGGGTTTAAGGAAGTTTTCTTGGGAGCCATCATCATTTTTAAACCATCTTGGCATCTTCCCCTTGAGTGTGGCCAACAGTCGAGAATTTGCCTTGGGAAAGCCACTCAATTCCCAAGAATTAACAGAAGATAATATTCCCTCTGGAGAATTCCAACCCCACTTTCAAACATATGGTAAAAAATAATAAACAATGAACATGATTTAATATAGAATTTTCCACAAATAATTATTTATTTGCTTGGCCCATTATGGTATATTTCTCATCAGATAAATTAGTAAGGAGAGAAGGGAAGAAGACAAACTTTGAATATGAAGGCTAAAATTAAGGGATGTTTTGTTTTAATTAGTATTATTTGTTATTATTACATGAATAATATAGATGAAATGTCACTGCCACAATAATAATACAAAATTTGTTTCGGATTAGGATGGCGATGTGGCAACTTGTTATGTTCTTAGTCATGAGTTTAGAAAACCATTATCTTTTCTAGTAATTTTAAAAAAGAATTGAACGTACGTAGATTATGTTTGTCATGACTCATGAGTTTATGGAAATTAAAAATAATTATAGCTCATCGTCCGTCCATGGACCACAGTTTAATTATCGTGCTAATTAAGGTGACGATTTACAATTAAGTGGCATGAGACAACTAGTTACCAAGTTGTTGTCATGACCATGTCTCGGCCTTTTTCCTAGTCATTCTTCGGAACTAAATATTTTAAGATATTATTATTCTTTTTCTTCTCTTTGTTGATGATGTTGAGCGACCCACTTGTCGGGAAATTGTTATCAAAATTGAGTTTGATATTATTAATATTATGAAGTCATGTGGGTAGTAATTTAACTACATGATTAGTCTCTTGTCACGCGGTTCACGGCAAATGAATTTTTTGGTTGTTTCGTAGACATTTATTTATTTTATTAGAAGAAATGTAAAACTTAATGAAAACTAACACAAAAAATATCCACAGAAAGAAATGAATGTTGTGACTGAAAAGAAAAAAAGATTACTTATTATTTATGCATTAAAAAAGACAATCTCCTTTTCTTCTCTTTGTTGATGATGATTAGATGATTAGATGCTTGAAATACGATATCAAATTGCAGAAATGCCTTGATGAATTCAAGTGCTTTTCATTCTCTCTCTCTCAAGTTCTAATATATATCTTGAGCTCTGCAACTTTTATCATCAATTTATGGATTCGTAATTCTGAAAAGGAGATATTGTTTGAGCTCCATGTAGTGATTCAGAGATATGTTCCCTGCTTCTGCCCGCTGTCATCAGTAGAGAAGCAGCAGGCATGTGCTTAATTATTAGACCACCCTTCTCAAAAATATTTTAATATCCTAAAATCAATTAGTTCTTCTAGCTAGTTTTTTTTTAAAATTTTCATGCAGGTAATTTGTTGTAGCATAGCTGGGATGGTGTAAGAGTGGTTTTTTGAGAAAGGAGAATTTGAACTTGGGAAATCTTTTAAAGAAAAATTTGGGTGTATGGGAGTGGACACACTGGCCAATGTCATTTCACCTCTCTCTCTCTCTCTCTCTCTCTCTGTGTTCATGATTTAAACAATGTCAATCTTGTAATTCAAAACTTCTGTTGTTGCTTTGAAGTACAATCGTAGACAGTTTTTATCCCTCCGCACGCTCCACATCTGCTCTTTTTATACCTCAAAAGAACAGATTACAAACCTCTTTCTACTCGCTCATTATCTACATTTGGTACAATACAACATTTGGGACATTTACCAATTACCATGAAGAAAAATTATTGTAGTTTGTTGCGGAAACTCCCAATTTCCTTTTCTTTGTCGAAGCAAGCTCCGTCGAACCAGCATTAACTGCAGCAGATTCAGGTAGAGCACTCCTTGCTTTCAAGTACTTCCCAACACCACCACCACCAGCAGATCCAGATTCTACTGTTCCTGTAGCCGGATTGCTATACCAAGACCCAATCTTGTCCTGAGAGTAACAAGAAATTAGTTGCATTATTATTGTAAAAGGGGGAGTAAGATATAATAAGCACAAGGACCAATTTAAGGATATAATAACAAACCTTATCTTCATCCTCAGCTTTCTCCTCAGCTTTGGCCTCTTCTTCCCCTTCATCAGGCTCTGTGTAAGGATTAACAAAAATTGTGACACCTGTTATCTTAATTTCCTCCTGCACAAGACACAGCAGAAAAATGGAAGTGAGGCCTGTGAATGCAAGAGCTTTAACATAGTTGAAACAATATTCAGCAAGTTGTATGTTGACCAACATGATTGAATGATTGAAACCCATGGAACTCTTTCAGCTACTACTGATAATAAGATGAAAATATATAGATATTTACACAGCTGTGTGCATAAACCCGTGCACGTTCAAAGACAGATACACAAATTAGGCAATGATGGAACTAGATTTGGACTGTATATGTTAAAAAATGGTATAGAGAACCTACAATCTTTTGTTGTGGCTTTCCATACCGTCTATGCCAGTATAATTAAGACCAAGAGTGACAATTTAAGAGAGTCATTTTTAAACACTTATAGGTATCTAGTGTTGAACAAGAAATAAATAATAAACTTACCAAAGGTTGGTCATTGTCATCAACAGGAACCTTTTCCATTGTTGCCAGTGTTGTCAAGCCACCAACAACTCCACCAAAAACCGTGTGCTTAAAGTTCAAATGATTTGCAGACTTGTAAAGGATGAAAAACTGGGAGCCATTAGTGTGGGGCCCACTGTTAGCCATACTGACAACACCCCTTCCAGAGTGAAGTAACTTGGAGTTCAATTCATCATTAAAAGGCTTTCCCCATATAGATTCTCCTCCTTTTCCGGTACCAGTAGGATCACCACCTTGAATCATAAAATTCCTATATAATAAAAGAGAATAATAGATCTTCAACTGTGGTCATATTGATCAACAAAGTACAAAATACAGAACTTAAACTAGAACATTCCACCATACCTAATGCTTCTGTGAAAAGCTACTCCATTATAATAGCCACGTTCACAAAGAGTTATGAAGTTCTCGCAAGCCCTGGGGGTTATATCACAGTGTAGCTCAATGTTCAAATCACCATGTGTTGTATGTAGCTGTACATATCCTTTCTTTTTTGGATTCTTCTCAACTTTGACATATTCAAATTCATTTTCAGTAACAGGATCAAAGGCGGTAGAAGTGAAGGATCTCGAAGCAGCACCAGTGGTGAATTTGCTCTTTACCTGGAATTAATACTCGTGTTATAACAGACATATAGCAAAGATAATTTATGCTGGAAGAACAGGATTTTTATTAAAACTAGAACTGAATTCATTTTAATAATCATACTGGAACTCCTAACATTTAGAATTGGGTAGAAGAGATTATAAATAGAATTCACTGACCATCTTTGCATTCACTGGTGCCCTCTCACCAGCCTTGTGCATAGCTATTCGAGCTGCAGTTTTATCACTTGATGTGGCTTTTGCGGCAGCAGCACTTCTTCCATGCACTGAAGCAGAAGCAGCATCTACAATACTGTACGCCTGAGGAGCCTCCCCATTCGAATTTGATTTAGGATCCTCTTTAATACGTGATCTTGCAGCTAAAATGGCTTCAAGTGCAGCAGCCCGTTCATTTTGTGCCTTGCTGCCACCTCCTCCATGCAGAGCGGTTTGCCTGCCTTTTTCAGTTCCAAGCTCTTTGAGCATCTGTTTGACATCTCCAGTTACATTTATGTTATAGGTTGGGTCGGAACTCATTCTCTTGAATTCTGAAGAAGAGAAGTAAATAAACAAAAAATAAGATAACACAAAAAAAAATTAATTACAGCAAAAAGAATACCTCAGTTGACCCACAATGGTAATGAAGCCTCTAGCTCACCTTCATCATCAATTTTCAAACTATTTTTAACATGATCGAATTCCACGAGAACCTTGCTATCAAGTGCATTGGGATTCTGCAAAGACCATCCATAAAATCTGTGAGATATTGAAACACAGAACAAAGACTTACAACAGTTTAGTACAACAAAACAGGATTTATCTGAAACGTATCATGTACCTGAATGGTTATCAGATCTTGCCTAGAAAATGGTTCATCTGTGAGGAGCTCCTTCCAGTTCTTGGTCTTGATGTTTAGTTCTTTAACTGCCTACAAAGCAAAAGCAAAATGATTAAAGTCTACAAAACAGCTATATGTATGACATACACATAGAGAAAAATACATTAAGCAAGAGCAAGATAACAAACCTCATAGCAGAAGACATTTCCTGTTGTCTTCACAGCAACTATGTGTGTAAATTCAGTGAAAACTTTGTTTAAAACAGGGCATTGAAACTCTCCTGCACAAAAAGCGAGAATAGATTTACAATCATCTAAGACAAGATACCAAAACAAAGACTGAACTGCCAAAACAGGATTATAAAACTGGTGAAGCGGACAAAAAAACCATCTAGCCAACATAGTCACATGTCTGTACAGAGAAAAACATATTTGGAAAATTATGCTGATCTCCAACTCACAGGTCTGAGATATGCAAAGAAATTTCCAGCACAACTTGATTCAAATTATGTACTTTAACAGACTTGGCCCCTCTTGAATGTCACGCCTAAAAAAATTTAAGCTCGGGCTTGTTTCTTTTACAAGAAAAGCTCTCAACATAAGATTGAAAAAATGAACCTCAATCCACTATGATAGTTCCAGTTTAGATTGAATTCCAAATTCACCTAAGCTAAAGGCGGTCTTATCCCATATTTTCTTGCATCATGCATGAACCACTATCAACTCTATCATTGAGTGCGTACTTCGTAAATATGTACTGAAAAGTAGAGTTAACAAGCACAAACCATCAGCATTCTTGTGGAACGTTAGTGGTATGAGCTCCTCCTGCTTCAATGGAGTTCCGGTGACGGGATGCTTTCCGTACTTTCGGATATAGGGAATTATATTCCTGCACCCATTTCCCAAAATCCAAAAACAACATACATGTCACATTTAACCTCCAAAAAAAATAACGATAATGAAGTTTGAAACAATCACAGGAAAAAAGAATCAGATGAACTCACAGTATATCGAAAACACTGCCGTCTGCCGTGCACACTGGGTCTTCAAAAGGCGTAAACGTAAGCCTGCATAAACAATTGAACAAAAGCACCAAACTTCAAAGAAGGCAATGAAAAAAAAACCGAACTTTACATATACAAATATACGAATTTATGAGAGAGAGAGAGAGAGAGAGAGAGAGAGTACGCGCAGCAATAGAACGGGAGGCGTTTGAAAGGAGTGGAGGTAGACTTGGCTTTGGCGCCACCCCATTCGGTGGCCCACTCCGTCTTGGTGATGAACATTCGATCTTTGCTGTGCTGTTTCTTCCCCATTCTGTATTATCTGTACGGAAAATGACCTTACTGGGTTCAGATTTCTACTTAGGGTTTTCCTGATTATCCCAATTGAATCTCTCTGTTATCTCTGGGTAATCGCAACCAATCAGAATCTGAACTCCCCTAGGGTTTCTGTTTTGAAGCTGCAACTGAGGCGGTGTGGCGCAGCCTACATCTATTTCCCAGATTGTGAAGAAAATCGTTTTGCCGTCGATGTTTCGCGGTTATGCTAAAAACTACGTCGTTTGGTGTTTTCCTTTTTGGTCGAATGTCGTTTCTTTTCAAAAATCAGTATTTTGGGTAAAAATAAGCATGTCGTATAACTAAGCCCAATGGGTCTAGGCTTATAAGCTCAAGACTAACCTGAAACCCAGAATTTATATCAGTAGAAATGGGCGAGTTCAGCAGCAGCAGCAGCAGTAGCGAGGAAGATGGAGATTCGGAATGGAAGGCAGCCATCAACTCGGCGGCTGCGGGTGCCTCCTCTGTTATGTCTTCGTTTATGAATGGTTTTTCCGCTAATGAAAATGGTGGCGGCGGCGGCGGTGGCGGAGATTACAACCAGAGTAAAACCCAGCAGCTGCCCAAGCACTACCAAATCAAGGTCAGCCTGCCCAATCAGTCCCCAAATTATCTGCACTTTGTTTTTCATCTCTCAATTTAATGGGTTTGTAGTTTCTTTGTGAAATAAACATTTTGTGGGATAATAATTTGAAGTATATATATATGTGCCTCTTTGTGGCCAATTTGTGCAAAACTAAAGTAGCAAGCTTGATGGCAGGCACAAAAAATTTTGGATGAAATCATAGGAAAGAGTTTGGAGATTGTGAATGATCCCCTCATTCATTTACCAGATGATGAAGCTGTGGTTGATGAAGATGAAGGTTGTATTCGCTTGTTCAAAAATGCTCCCCCTGGGATAGTGTTTGATCACGTAGGTAAGTAATTCCCATCAAATGTTTTATTTGTAAACAAGGGATTAGGAGATAATCATGATGTGTCCACCTACTGCTTTATTACTGTTGAGATAATAGCTGAGTGAAACTGCCTGAATATGACCTGACCTTTTTTTTTTTGCCCTCTTCTTACTGAGGACCCAAATATTCGATTTCTAGATTTGAGAAAAGAGTAATCTTGGAGCAGAAAACTGTTCTTATAAATGAAATGTAATCGGGTTTGTGATATCATCCAGTTATTGCTAATTTTTAGCCAAATTGTGTCAGGATAGGATAATTTTTGAGTTTTAACATGCCTTTTTTTAATGCTTGAATTGGAGAGTTGACCATTCTCTGGTGCCATCCTACTGATGCATTTCCACACTGCCAATTGCCAAACTGTTTGCATGATTAACTGAAAGTTATGTGAATGCTGTCAGATGAACAACCATTGAGAAAGAGACCAAGAATTCTTCCTGGAAGAGAAATTAATGAGAAATCAAAGAAGGTTTGCTTATTTATCCATGAATCTTAGTTTGAGTCGGTGATTTCTTGTTTACACAATGGCTCTACTTTCCTTATCCATTTATGGTATTGTCTAAATGGATTGCAGTTTAGACGGCGACTCGAATCTGTTGTTGTTGATGGGAAAGACATAATGGCTGCAGCAAGAGACAAATGCAAGAGATCATTGTCCAGGCTAGAAGCTAAAGATGAAGCAGCAAAAGCAGCAGCCAAAAGAGAAGAGGAAAGAGTTGCTCAACTGAAGAAAATAAGGGGTGAAAAATGGCTACCTTGTATCGCCAGAGAAATGCAATTAAAACGTTGAAATACCTTGCTGGTTAACTTACTTTGATTTGTCGATTCTTGTATTGCCCTTCGCTTCGCTTCGTTTCGTTTCTTCTTCGTGTATGATGAAGTAGAAATCCTAGAAAAACAAATGTAGACTAATTTTCACAAGCAATGTGGCATGATGTTTTGCTACCTGAGAATTCACGAGGTCCATTTGGCAAGTTGAGCTAGGCACGGTTGGATTTAGATTAGTTTTATCTCTAAATTCTAGTAAAATTAAGTTAAAAAGTCATTTTTAGCTCCTGTAATTTGAATTCCAAACAATTAAAGGATAATTCACAATTTTTTGTCAAATTACTGTAGTATGGAGGGGCATTTTGGTCCAATCTTACAGCCTCTCCCGAACCACTCCTACAGCCACCCCAACAGACCCGACAAAGATAATGAATAAGTTGGGGGAGGTTGGGTGGGGAGAGGGAGAAATTGAAAATGCTCGTACACACATGACTTAAGGCCCCATTTGGTTCATGGAATGAATTTGAGGGGAAATCATTTCTCATGTCATTTCCCAAGCAATGGGAATGAAAGATTTCTTTCCCACGTTTAGTAATGCTGGGAAAGTAACTGGGAAATATCATTTTATTTCCTTTCCCATGTTCGTTTTGAGTATGAATGGAAAACAAAGTTTGTATAAATTTTCAATTATATCCATATTAAATCAAATAAAAAAAGAATGCATTTAATGATATATTGTAATTCTAAATTGTTAATGGGGATAAAATGGTCATAAAAATATGTATTTAATGTTAGCTCATTTTCCCAAACTTTCCCATGAGGAGAGAAAACAAAACCCAAGTTGGGAGGATGGCTTCACTTTCCCCCTACTTTCCCATGAGCCATGCAACGATTTCTCATTCTTAGACTTACCAAACATGAGAAAGCAATTGATTTCTCATTCTCAAGTCTCCTTTCTCATGAACCAAACGAGGCCTAAGGGTGTAACTGTAAGAGAACAAATTGAAATTACCCATATAATTATTCAGTTATTGGGAGCTCCTAAGGCTCAAATAAATAAATAAAACTAACTTGCGTTTAATCTGGGCGTATGCAAGCTTAGCATGTAAATGTGGACAAGCTTCGATTTGGATCAGCTTTATATTCAAATCCTAGTATCCAACAAAAAAACAAATATTCAAACTCTTTAAAATTGAGGAAGAGCTCCTCCTTAGAATAAATAGAGTTTCGACACTTAAAAGGAATTTAAAAGAAAAAATTAGTTATAGAAATATGATAAGTTTTAAAACTCCATTTGTTTTGAGGGGGCTCATTCTCAGTTTTAAGGAACTAACTTTTTTTCATATTCAAATCCAAGTAAAATTATTTATTATGGAACAAATATATTTGGGGTTATATTTTAATTAAAACCACCAGGTTAAAAAAAAACCAAATTAAATTGGCCAAAAAAAAACCAAATTAAAGTTATTATGTTGAGCGGTTTGGTTAGGCCAGGTTTGGGCCTAACCAAATCAATGCTTTGCATCTTTTCTAGTTAGTCCAATTGGAGAGCCTGCTAAATCCTTTTCATTGTTAGGCCCAACCTACTCTCTGCAATTTTTTCTAGTTAGTACAATTTGAGAGTATGCTAAATTTCCTTTTTTTTTTTTTTTTTTTTTTTTGTGTCGCTGTCAAAGTTTGGAAGGGGTGGGCGAGGTGCCATTAGGGTTTGAATCTTAGACTAATGATCTGCATTCTAATTCCATTTTTAAAGGGTTTCTGAACTAGGGTTTCCTAAACCCTAACCTCAGAATCGACAGTCATTTTTAGGGTTTAGGGTATACCAATTTAAGTGCATTAAATGCAAAATCAAAAAGTTCAAAGAATACAATTAAAAAGTAAATAGAACTTCATAAGCAAAGCAAGGCAACTGAAACGTCTTTTGCTCCTTCCTCTCCTACTTTCAAGTAATCTGAGTTCTTTATTTCTCTTTAGTTTGGAATTTAGATAGGGGTATTTTAAGAAATTCTCATTGACGAACATATCAAATTTCTTTGTCACAGATATTGAGGTTTCAGCTTTTATTTTATTTATTGTCTGACATCTCATATCTACCGTGCATGGAATGGAAGTCCATGTTCTTTTTCTGTTGCTGCAGAGTGAAGGCCTCTCCTTGTGAAAATGGTTCGGACCCGTTAAGAGAGAATAAGAAGAAGAAAAAAAATTGGGGTTCAATTGAGAGAAGATAATGGCCAGATTTTAAGATGAAAATTTGGGGTTTGATTTAGTTGTGGAAGAATATGGTAAATCAGTTCTGAGTCCTTTGTAGAACGGGAGAGAGACGGAGAGACGGAGAGGAGTGAGAAAGATAAATGTGTTTTAAGTTATCAAAGGCACGTGACGACAACTCAAATTAATATTTAATTTCTAAATCAGTTCTGATTCTGAGTCATTTCTAAATCTCTACCATTTTAATAAACAAATGTCTAATTATTTAAGAAACATAATAATTAAAATATTACCTCATTAAAAAAAAACTTAACAGATTAAATAGAAAATGTAAATAAAATCATTCAAAAGACAGCCCAGCTAGTGCGGGAAGGAGGGATCGATGCAAGGGGTGGAATGAAGTAGGAGGTGGAGGCGAGATGGTGAGAGAGAGAAGAAGATAATGTACGTGTAGTAGTAGTAGAGGGTTTCCAATTTTCTTTATTCATTTTCTTTTTTAAATAGCAATCAAAATAGGAATTGGAATCGTGAAATTTTTGTTTCCTTTCCTGGTTAGGAAAGGATACAAAAGTCTCTACATATACAGACGCACCAACACAAACACAATCAACAAAAACCCCCTTCCTTTTACCAAAACACACAAACACAATCAACAGATACCCTTCCTTTCAAAAGCAATCTCTTCCGATCCCATGGCTTTTTACAAGTGTCTTTTTTTACTCTCTCTCATGTTTAGCTCAGTTTCCGTCACCATGTCACAACAAGCTTGCACACCCCATGCAATCAACCAAAGAACATTCGATGCATGCCAAACTCTACGAGTTTTGAACTCGACAATCCACTGGAGTTATTACCCATCCAAAGGCACCGTCGACGTGGCCTTCTCACAAGCTGTAGTGAGCGACTCCAGATGGGTTGCATGGGCCATAAACCCTACCTCAACTGGCATGGTGGGCTCGCAAGCCATCGTTGCTTTCAGAAGAACCGACGGAACCATGAACATTTACTCGTCGCCCATTAAAAGTTATGCAACTCGTTTGGAGCAAGGAAATCTTAGCTTCCCTTTGTTTGATGTCTCCGCCATCTATGAGAACAACCAGATCGTCATCTTCGCCACCATAGGGCTTCCCAACAACGTCAGCGTCGTCAACCATGTTTGGCAGCAAGGACCTTTGTCCGGAAACACACCGCAGATGCACTCGGTTTCTGGACCAAACGTTCAGTCGTTTGGAACTCTGGATTTTCTTTCTGGGAAAGTGGAAACAATCAAGAGGGCCACAAGTTCTGTGTTCAAAGTGAAGATTTCTCATGGAATTATTAATACCGTCAGTTGGGGCATACTGATGCCTGTTGGGGCTATTGTGGCAAGGCATTTCAAGGCAGCTGATCCAGCATGGTTTCATGTTCATAGGGCGTGTCAAATGCTGGGATATTTTGGTGGGGTTGCTGGGTTCGCAACAGGAGTTTGGCTCGGCCATAAATCTTCAGGGATTGAATATAAAGGGCACCGATGCATAGGCATCACTCTTATGGCTCTAGCTACCCTTCAGGTGCTTGTTGCTTTGTGCTTGAGGCCCAAGAAGACGGACAAGCGGAGGGTGTTTTGGAACTGGTTCCACTACCTGGTGGGTTACGGAACCATCGTTCTCAGCATTGTCAACATCCTCAAGGGCTTTGATATACTGCAGCCTGGAAAAATTTGGAAAATTTCTTACCTTATCACCATCGTAGTGATAGGTTGTGTTGCCATAATATTAGAAGCCTGGAAATGGCTTTCGCTTTGGAAAAGGAAGACGGCTCAAGCTGCAGAGGAGAAAATGGATATGCCAATCGAAGTTTGAAACTTTGTAATGAATAACATTTATAGTGTTGTTCTTAATTTCTTTATGCATATTTTACTATTTAAACCTCTAACAACGAAGGATGTTTTTTATTTATTTAATTTGTTGTCACAATCTTATGTGTATATGCTAATATTATTTTGTTTCTTGTATACTTTAAATTAGCATATATACCTATTCCAAAAAAAAAAAAATAACAATATTGCATCATGTATGCGCAAGAACGCGTATAGAAATACCAAATGTGCAAAGAGAAATACTCAAGCTGGGCCTTTAACCTTGCTTTTTTTTACCCACCGAAAAAAAAACTGCAGAGCATAACACATACATGGCAAGTGGAGTTTAAGATTGAAAGACGTGAACATTAGTTGAAGATTTAAAGACAGATACATGGCATGTGCAACTATATTAGTTATTTATATAACATCCATGTTTTTTTTTGTTTGCTTCTTTGTTGCAGTACATTTGATTTTGATGAGATGTTAGTACGTATGACAAATGTTCTGGAGGTTCAAAGAAACAAGGTGATGATTAATGGATCGATTAATTACTTAATTTGATGGAAGGAAACTGATGTAGGCAAAAACGAGCAATTTCCTAATTGAATAAGAGAAAATAACATTCAAAGCCGTCTTGTCTTAATTCACAAAGTCACATTGGTTTTCCATGTTGTTATTAAAACTATTTCATCAATAGTTTATCACTTATTAAATGAGTCATTGATATAATTTCATATGATTTATCACGTTTTTCATTTAAGGGAAAAACTAAAGTTGTTCAATTCGATTATTATGAGTGCATATATACATATGAGCATCATTTTATTGTATATGAATAACGTAAGGAAAATCAAAATTGAGTACCAAATGATGTGGCATATTCCACATCATCAATTATATATATATTTTTATTAGTCATTAGTTTCTTTAGGTAAAATATTTAAAATTAAAGTAGAGTTAATTAACCCTAGTCACACCACCACAGTCTCCACCTATCACAACATCACCTACCCAGACCTTCCTGCTGCACCATCTTCTCACAACCATCATTAAGATCTGACCCACAAACATGGCTCTTTGAATTCTAGTTCATGATATATGGACAACTCCTTTAGAGTACTCATAATGGGCTCCCCAAACCACATCCTTAGACAATTTTTAGGGAGGAATTGGAAAAATACTACTCCAACCATGTTTCATATCCACCTCCTAAAATAAGGAGACCTCTAGGAGCTCCTAAATCTGAGGAGAGAGAAATGACTCCTAAAAGCTTCTTATAATTTAATAATGCTTTATTTAATGAGTATTTCAAACCTTTAATTAATGTTAACTACTTTTATATTAATTTTTAATAGAGATGGACCAATTAAAAAAAAATTATAGCATTTATGACTCCCTAAAATAGAGAGCATGATTGGAGTTTAAATTTTATAGAGAGCTCCTAAAATAACTTTTATATATTTTTAGCTAAAATTTAACTAAAAAATAGAGAGCATGATTGTAGATGCTCTTACAAAGTCCAGAATAAATTGAAGAAATTAAAAGTAAAAAAATTGAAAATATAGGCCGTTAATCATGAGGGCGATGTAGAGTCTTGTAAAACACAATCAAAACTAAACCATGAATATGTTTGTTCTCTCTCCCGCAAAGCTCTATCTCTGATATTAGTTTGTGCTATAGCACGAAATTCTTTCACTTACAGTGAAAATTAAAATGTCATATATGTGCGCGTCAATGGTATCGTCAAGACTCATTCATAAAATAAGTCAGCATACGTATTCACATAATAATAATAATAATAACAATATTGCATATAGAAATACAAATATCATCGTATTAAAGTAACATTTTACCATATAGTTTACTTTGTTCTTGTGCATGCGCAAGAAGGCGTATAGAAATACCAATGTCATCTTATTAAAGGAATCATTTTACCATTTAGTTTATACCATGCAGAAAATGTGATAGACTAATTGAAATAAAACTATCATTTCCACCAAGAAATGAAATTAACATGGGACCATTTCTTTACATGTGATAGCAGTTTATATACAATCTGACAATCAATTGCTTTAACACATAACACGTCTCCAAACATCAAACTCATACATACACCAAAATGATGCGAGTCATAAAGCTATAGCACAACATCAAACATCCAATTCACCAAAAATACTTAAATGTGTGAGATATTGGAAGCAATTAAAGGATAAATCTTAAACGGTTCAATATAAAGGGCACTGATGCATAGGCATCACTCTTATTGTTCTAACTGCGCTTCAGGTGCCAGTTGCTTTGTGCTTGAGGCCGAAGAAGACAGATGACAAGAAAGTCTTCTGGAATTGGAGCCTTTTGGAATTTGTTTCACTACATGGTAGAGTCTTTTGATATACTGCAGCCTGGAAAAGTTTGGAAAATGTCTTACGCACCATCATAGTGATAGGTTGTGTTGCCGTAATATTGGAAGCTTAGAAATGGATGCTTTTGACAAAGAAGACGGCTCATGCTGCAAGTAAGAAAGATGTCCCAAGTGAAGTTTAAGTCCAAAATTTTTAGTTAGATCTAGCTAGTCTCTTTGTTCTTTATTAGTTTTGTTCTTAATTTTGTATAAATTTAGTTAAAGGCTAATTTCAGTTTGTGTTTGCATGCAATTGTACTTATAAGGCATATTTGTCTATATACTCTCAATTTTAATAATTAATTACCTCAAATTTGTCAATTTTTTTAAATGTCGTTCTGAAATTAGGGTTTCAATCAACATTCTCATTAGTTGTCTATGTGGTAGCCTTGGATCCTACCTATTCGAGTGATTCAAAGTCAGTTTGACGAAACATTATCTATTTTGAATTTGATTCTATCCTAGAATTAGGATACATTGTCCGAAAATGCCTAACTTTAAAACACACGAAAAGGTGGGACACATGGTCGCTACAAGGTCATTAATAAATCGATTAATTACTTAATTTGATGGAAACAAACTGACGTAGGCGCAATTTCCTATCCGAATCAAAGAAAATAACATTCAAAGCTGTATTGTCTTAATTCACAAAGTCACATTGGTTTTCCATGCTGTTATTAAAACTACTATGATCAATAGTTAATCACTTATTAAATGGGTAATTGATTTAATTCTTGAAACTCTTTTTCTCTTATTTGATTTATCACGTTTTTCATTTCGGGGAAAAACTAAATTTATTAAATTTGATTATTGTGAGCGCACACATACGAGGATCATGTTATTGTATATTATTGACAACAGGAACCACCAGTAACTCTCTGCAATGAGACATTGTTTGCAATGATGCCAACTTAGTTTTATCTTTTAATGGGGTCATCCTAAAAATTATGTTATAATCAAGCATCCACAAAACAAACACCAACCAACTCAAAAAAAAATTTATGGGTTCTGTTTGGCCTCCGGGATTGTCATATATGACAACCGATGTTGCTCGTGACGTTTAAAATCCTTGGCCTTGTTTTTCCAACCTCGCCTTCAACTAATACTTAGTTAAGCCCTAAAGCCCTCGCTCACGTTCGCCGAGATTCAGTTTCAAACAACTGCTTTTTCTATTTAATTTGTTGTGACAATCTCATTTTATATGCTAATTTTATTTTGTTTATTCTATGGTTACCTTTAAAATAAGTCAGCGTACCCAATCAAGAAAAAATATAACAATATTGCATATAGAAGTACCAATATCATCGTATTAATTTAAAGTTTTCATTTTATTAAAGTAATCATTTTGCCATTTAGTTTATTTTGTTCTTGTGCATAGGCAAGAGCGCGTATAGAAATACCAATATCATCGTATTAATTTAAAGTTTTCATTTTACCATTTAGTTTATACAATGCCAAAAGTGTGATTGACTAAGTGAAATTAAACTATCATTTCCCCCAAGAAATGAAATTAACATGGGACCATTTCTTATTGTGAGAATGTGAGGATAAAAAATTCCACATTGGAAAGTTGAGGAACCTAGCAAGAGTTTATAAAGAGTTGAGCTACTCCTCCCATTGCCAATTGATTTTGGAGTGAAACCTCAACTTCCTTCATGGTATCAGAGCGGGTTAGTCCACGTGTGAAAGCCCAATTGCTACATGTGCTCCACGTAATCCAATATGTGTTGTCCACATGTTAGGCTTGAAAATTCACCATACGTGTGGGGGCGTGTGAGAATGTGAAGGTAAAAAGTCAGTGACTAATAAAAATGATTATATATCAACAATATATAAGTCTCTTAATTGATTTTTCACCGCTTTTCATTTGAGATAAAAACTAAAATTACTGTTAAATTGAATTATATAATGTGAGTGCACACGAATGAGAATCATGTTATTGTATATTCTTGATAGTAAGGTAACAGTGTCTGCAGTGTCTGCAATGATGCCAATTTAGTCTTAATTGGATGAACTTAAAAGTTACGTTCTGATCATCCGAACACCAAGTTGTTGGTTTCTTGGGGTTCCCTGCTTCGTCCGGAAAAAAGACCAAACCAACAAACTCTAGCAAGGAAGGATGCTGTATTTTCTGTTTAAGTCAGCATACCTATTCAAGATAAAATAACAATATTGCATCATGTGCATGCGTAAGAAGATAACACATTTAGAAATATCAATATCATTGTATTAAAGTATTTTATTTATTCTTCATTTTACCATTTAGTTTATACCTTTTAAATTCCAAAAGTGTGATAGACTAATTGAAATAAAACTATCATTTCCACCAAAAAATGAAATTAAAATGGGAGCATTTCTTTACATGTGATAGCAGCTTATATATAATCCGAGAATCAATTATATTCAATCATCAAACTCATTCATACACCAAAATTATGTGGGTCATAATAAACCTATAGCACACCTTAAAACATGCAATTCACCCCAAACACTTAAATATGAAACACCAAATTCACTCAAAACACTTAAATGCGTGAGATATTGGAAGCAATTAAAAGGTGTAAATCTACAGGAGTTCAATATAAAAGCCATTGCCTGAAAAAAATGGTGGAAAATGGCTTATATTATCACTATTATAATTATTGGTCGTGTTTAATGACGGAGCCAGCTAAGGCCCACAAGGCTCAGCTGACCCTCCTCCAATTTATGCAACAAATGACCACAGTAGAGAATGTAGAGAAGAATGAAGAAATCAGAGAGCAGAAGAATGAAGAAGGAAGCGGAAGAATGAAGAAGAAATCAGAGAGTAGAAGAATGAAGAAGAAATCAGAGAGCAGAAGAATGAAGAAGAAGTCAGAGCAAAAGACTCATAATTGTGTATTGATTATCTCGATTTTTTATTACAGTGTAACAGTACAGCTTATATAGCTAGTAACAGACTTAGAAACTAATAACCAAAACTTTAACAAACTAACAAACTAGAACACGTGCCATCCATGTGCTCTGCTGATCTGGACAATATGGTTATCAACAAATGCATTTGTTGTGTGTTATATTTGATTTTCTTGGGTTTCTTTTAACTTTCTAACTCTAGTTAATTGTTATTCTTGACTTCTATAGTTTTTCCAATATTTATCTTTACTCCATTTTTCCTTTTTAACTTCAATCTTTTTATTCTTTCATTTATTGAGTTCTCTTACATATTTTGTTATTGAATCGGCCATCAGTCAAGTAAATCTCCCAATACTAGCTATTCAATTCTCTTTTGAGTAATGTATTATGATTTGATTCATGTCAAGTTATTTCTTTGTAATTTATTGTACGATGCGAGTTATGATTTTGGAATATAACAATTAAATTATACAATAAAAAAAAATTTATGTTAATGTTCACGGCTTTCTCAGACTAATAATGTTGACCCTCATTGAGAGAATTCCCAGATACGTCAAAAATTGTGTTGTGATATTGGAAGCATATAGATGGCTCTCTGTTTTGACAGGCTCAAGCCGAGGAGAAAACGCATGTGCCAATTGAAGTTTGAGATATTGTAATGGATGTCCAAACATTTAACTCATTACTAGGTCTAGTCGATGTTTGTTGATTCAATAGTTTTGCTATGCCTCTTTTGTTTCTAATTCACATTCTAAATTTCAACTTGTGTATAATTTATGCCACACACATGTAACAATCAAATAAATTTATCAATAAACAGTCTACCAATGTATGTGGTAAAAAATACCAAACAACTATTTATGCGCGCATGTGGTAAATAATCATTGAGCAATTGTGACGGTATACTTTTGTATGTAATAAAAAGATTACCAAACAAAAAATTACCGAGTTTAATATACTCCCCCAGAGTTAAATCTCTAATGATAAAGTGCAAAACGTATATTCTATAACATAATATTTCTGTAATACTAATATTAATAACTCAATTGTAGTCGATTTTAAGCATCTTGTTAGAGCATTTCCAGCAAAGGGCCCAAGGGGAGGGTTGGGGGGCAAACCCAAAATGGGGTTTCCAGCAACAAAGATCTGCCAGGGCAAGGAGTGGGGCCCCAGCTACCTGGGCTGGCCCGAGGGGGAGGCTAGCCCGAGTGCCAGCCCGAGGGCAATCTGACGTCAGCGCTACAGTGCCGCTACAGTGCTCCCTTTGCCCAATAAAAAAATGTAAAAAAATAAAATAAAAATGTAAAAAATACCCAAAAATACTGAAATTTTTTTCCATAAATACCAACCAATACTCTTCACTTTTAACACCAGCAGCCAATATTTTTGTAATAAAAAATTACTAAAAAATACTAAAAAATGTCTTTGTCCTTTTACTTTTATTTATTTTTATATTACTCCATTTACTTAAGTTTACAATGTAAATAAGGAAGTACCCCCCATTTGGATTCAAATAAAAATACTAGAAAATCAAATTCCCACCAAATCAAAATATGAAAAATCGGTTTTAGTGCAAAATACGATTTAGGCTAAAAATGATGGCTCATTAAGTGAATATATACTTCATATTAAAATCCCATATAATCAAGTTTTCTTATTTGATGTGTTAGGAATAAAAGCCGCCAAAAATTATCTTGAGAAAATGATTATTCCGAAAAACCATTTTTCATACTTAGTCAATATTGCACCTCCGCTAAAAATCTTGAGAAAATGATTTTTCATATGTAGGAACCCAAAAATCTTATCCGAAAATATTATCCAAATTAATTGTTTAAGTAAACAAAGTTGTGAAAAAAAAACAACAAAATGAATAGTATTTGCCATGGCAAGCCTAAACTGCTGGAAACACACTTTGCTAAGGGGGGTAGGGCAGCCACTATTCACATGAATAGTAGCTGCCCTAGGGCTCCCCTTGCCATGGCAAGGGGCTAACTAGTAGAAGTCCTCTTAACTAGAAGCTTGCATCCTACAAAATCAAACCGCGGCGGCCGAGAGAGATTTGGGCTTTTCATTGAAACCGTTCAGTTTTTCGTTGGGCTTTTCATTTTGCTAAGATATTTCAGTCAACAAATATACGTACAGTACAGGCAAAGTTTAGCGAGTACAGCAGCTATGCAAAAATTATTCTACATGTTAAATCTCATTACACAATTACACAAATGAATACATGAACTCCTTCCCAAGTTCCACTGCTTTATTGCAATCTGGGTGGTCTCGAAAGCCACATTGCACAAGGCAGCTTTCGAACCAAATAAAATTGATTAATCGATCGATTAATTAATTTGATGGATGGAACTGGAGTAAGCAGGAAACGAGCAATTTCCTAACCACAAGGAAGGAGAAACTCTTTAGTTTTATTTTTTGACTGGAAAAACTAAAGGGTTTTTTTGCAGGATGTTATGATACAGGTAGAAGCAGCCCTGGCGCCGAAGAACTGGAAGCCCTTGTCTTCTATTACGCCTGCAGATACCCCTTCTCCTCCAAGTATGATATCACGGTTTCAGCCATCTCACCTGGGGGGACACAGTCACTACCTTTCTGCTGCAATACTATCTGCAAGATGAAAGCATATTAGGAAAGAAAAAAACCAATTTAACACAAGGAAATTAAAGGCTTGATTTCGTTCATAAACACAAAGTAATGCTGCCCTACACAGATGTATGATTTCCTTTTACAGACATACCTCACAATTTAATGGTGGCTCGTATGGATCATCAACCCCTGTAAAACCTGCAGAATACCAAACAAATCATTCATCACTTATATGATTGGTGAGAACTGATTTACCTGGGGTTCGGGAAAGAAATAACACAGAAATGATAGATCCATTTAGCACTGCATCATCTTTAAACTTAAGCTCCTAGAGGGATACCTTTGATTTTTCCAGCTCGAGCAAGCTTGTAAAGGCCCTTCGGGTCCCGATTCTCACACACATGGAGTGGCACGTCCATAAACACCTGAGAAATGTGAGGTTTGTCAGGTCATCACTGGAAACAAAGAGCCTCTTGCCTTTTGTCACATTGTGGTGCTAATAGCAAACTAAATTCACTACCTATATTTTTGGATTGAATCCATTCCTCATATTAAAGACATCACATACCTCAATAAAATCCCCTTCAGGAAATAATGCACGGCAGACATCTCGGTCCTTTCTGTATGGAGATATTAAACTAGCAATACAAATGATGCCAGCAAAGAGCTTAGCTACCTAGCTCAGCTTTTTTTTTTTTTTTTTTTTTTTTTTTTTTTTTTTTTTAGAATTAAATCAGTAAAAGAAAATATAAGAAAATAAATGGAAAAGTCAATAAATTCTAACTTCAAAAATACCCACCAATTCTTCGTATGTTCTCTGCACGATCTTCTGCTTTGAAACTAAGATCACGATTTAGACCATGCCGAACATTGTCACCATCAAGGATGTAGGTCAGCTTTCCTCTTATGTGCAAGCCTTGACTCAAGGCACATGCCACAGTGCTTTTTCCTAAAATTAGAGACCAGGATATGAGAGTGTGGGTTATAAGGTGAAGACTACAAAGTAACAAATTGAACAGGAAGAATCCGCAATCAGAGTCAAACAAAGTTGCACCAAAAGTCATAAGCAATACAAAAATGTCTATATCTAGAAGGTCTTCCAATTGATGGAGATGGTTAATGCGTTAGCTTTCTTCTTTCATAGTTCCTCCTTTATAGTGTACCATCCAGTAAACACTCTGATTGATCTTAAATATGACAATTAAATCATGCAAAATATCAACATGTATGTTTCCTTTGCTCATCCGGCCTTGAATAGTTCGTTTGAGCATCGCATAAGGATGACATTCATAAATCAAGGAACAAATAATATTTTTATTAAAATGGGGACAAATGTTTGTAATTATCTAATTAATACTATTTCAGATGCATTTATTAACTATAGTTTTGATATTCACGAATAGCTCCACCAACATAAAATCAGTAAAATGGGCCATGATGTAGCAACAGCAAGCTCAGTTGGACAAGGCTCTTCTCTGTTTAGATGTGAAATTAAAATAGCTCTAAAGAAATTCATAAGATTAATTGCTCGGTGTAAAAAAATTTACACAAATAAATTCCTGTTAAGTATGATGAGACTTAAAAACAAATGAAAAAGCTTATGATGCACTGTTCTATGATTATACCATTTATCTGTATTCATAGTTGAATATCAAGGATCCTGATAGAGACATGAATGAAGAATATTGAACCCTGTGAAAACACGAGTTTGGGTCATGCATAAACAATTAAGGATGAAAAGGGTACAGCTGACTTGGGCATGGATAACCTCAATTGTTTTAATCAAAGAATTAGCACTTGAAGAGGCTATAACTTTTAGCCAAAAACAAAATTACAGGGTACTTAGTTGTGTTACATAATATTAATGTAATCAAGCTAAGGTATAATAACAATACTACAGCTAAGAAGCAGCAGAGATGGGTAGCAAAGGAAAGCACACAGAAAGAGATCTGTAGCTACTAAGTGATATCTTTCTAACCCATTGTGTGTGTTTGTGTTCATGTGTGCGTGTGTATGAGAGAGAACGGGAGAAGTCTACATTCATAGTATGTCAACTTCCTTTCTTTATCCTCTTTTGACATATTTCTTGAAAGGGAAAGCTGAGGTCAAATGATGGCACCACCTTTCATGTAGGTATCATCACCTTGCCTTCTGGTTATTGAGATGTATAATTCCAGAAGGGTTATACCAGCAGCATGATTACTGCTATGCAAGTATAACTACAAATCACAAATTCCCATATCAAAATATGCACACAAGAAAATGAAATGAAATAATTTTTGCATGAGTTATTAAATAACAAAAGAGCTAAAACTTCATGTGTGCATATACAATAACAATTACAGAGTTGCTAACGGAGACGCTGATTAGCCTTTCATATAGCAAAAGTGAATAGAAAGAAACAAACCTGAACCACTAAGACCAGTAATCCATATGGCACAGCCTTTCTGCTGAAGTAAATGTTGCCTATCACGTTTCTCCACTGGGCTTTTATGCCACACAATGTTTGTTGGATTCTCCATGGTTGACATCTGGCGCAGATTTCTACCTAGTTAGATGGTTGGTTTCAATTAGAACCCTAAATCCATCCATTGAAGAACACTAGGTTTCCTGATAAACCATAGCTTAACTAACAACATTCCAGAACAATAACAATATTCATCCTCAAGGGCTGAGAATTTTGCTTCAGCTGAAGTTTAACACCCATATATTTCATCAAAGTGTCAATAGCATATAAAATGATTAATTCTGCTCATAGCCTCCATAATCTAAAAGCACCGATCCTTAATCAATTTTCTTTACGAGAATTGAAAAGAAAAAAAATTCTACAAAAAGAAAAAACCTCAAATATTCACCAGATCTGTCATCAGAAAACAGGTACTTTGAGGCTCAAAGAAATATGAACATTCAATATATACCATATTCAATTCAAGGCCAATTTATAACCAACACCGCAAGAAACCCACAATAACTGAAAATAAATAAATAAATAAATAAGCAAGGTTTTTATGGTTGCTGAATCATCAACCTTGTGCGACGGACTTGAAACGCTTTAATTGTGCTCAAAATGGGCCGCTGGTGGCACTGAGGAGAGTTGGCAGCATAAATGTTGTATACAGAAGATGAAGATACAAAGACGGGTTGACCAAAGTAATGACAGTATGGCATAGGAGGAGGAGAAGAAGAAGAAGAAGAAGAAAGTATAAACTAATCACTAATCACTAACAAGCACTAAGACTCAGCCCACCATAAAAACAAACTAAGTATGAGTCCATAACCAATCATTTAACCCACCGTCCTCGTCCATTTTATTCAAAAAAGTAATTTTTTTTATAAAAAGTCAATTTTGCTGTTACAAGGGAATTTTGCTCTAGAATCTACTTTTCTCCCCCACCCAATTCTCACCCAAGGCTCAAGGCCGAAAAGAAAAGGTAATTTACGAAATAACAAACATATCTTTAAAAATTAAATAAAACAGAGAGAAACATTCAAAACTCCTGAATCTAAATTGAAACAGCAAAATGCCCAAATAAATGTTTCATTAATTAGAAGAAAAAAAAATCCAAAAGGATAAATGTTGCTTCCACAATGCAAGCGAAACATTACAACTGGCATCAAATTTTAATAAAAAACAGAGAGAACTTGAAATTGAAGAGAGTGGTACCAGAAATGGCGGCGCAATCATTCCTCAAAGAAACGCTAGAGTCCTCCATTGCCTTAATCGGTCTCAAAAACGTGGATCCAATCGCATTGCTTCCCTTCACCCTTAAAAAACCTAGCTTCGCCGCCGACAACGACTGCACCGCCAACGGTCCAGATTCATCGCCCCGCGGCGGGCCACAAATCAACGGTCGCGGTCCTTTCACCACCGCACTCATTAATTACCAAAACGGCAAGATCAAAAGCAAGCAATTTCACAACAACCCGGCTTTTTAATTACGTATGTTTGTGCTTTTGGATTTTTTTAGTGCTTTGGTAAAATTAGAGAGCCGTGGAAAGCTCACATGGAGAGGGAGGTTGACTGGTTGTGCGCGAGAGGAAGTGTATGGTTAGCGAGATACGTATTGTTGAGACCAATGGCTCTGCTTCCATTTCTGAGCTTCTCTTCTCTACGTGTAGACAGGCTTGTAGGAGATGAAACAGAGAGCTCAGAGAGAAACGCAGTTGTGCTGCACTGCAAGGTTTATCGGGGGAAGGAAGTGTAGTGCCACGCGCTCCTATACAGAGTGGTGCTAAGCTTGAGACCAGTTATAATTCGCCACGTGTTTCTTTGCTGGCAAAGATTTTACACGTGTTGTTTCTTTGGGATTCCACTGGGACTCCGTGGGGTATACGTCCCTTCCATATTCTTTGTCAGTTTTTTATACCTGCTTACAGATTAATATAATTATTTACTATTTGTTTGTAGGGTTCATTTTGCTTACGATATTAAAATTAAATAATTGATATTAATGTGTGAGATAAAACATAATAGTAAATAATGACAACCAATGAGAAAATGCATACGTAAAAATAATGTTTTGTGATGGTTACCTAAATTAAATAATTTCTCACTTCTATTTGGTGAATAATTATTTCCAACTTTACCATCAAATGTCAGCCAGCACCTTTAAAAAAGAAGATAAAACACACGGCCAAGATCAATCACTTTCAGCTCTTACGTGGAGCCAAAAACAAGGCCCACCCCCGCCAATAATCTGTTTGTATTGTACGTAATATATTATTCAAAGCGCACATCTGTTACGCACTGTCGCGCCCGCTCCTCCAATCCGCCGCTCCTCCCGTGGTTCGCATAGTCAGCGCCACCAATAATTTCGCGCAATGTTGCGTACCCCAATACCCCATAGTCATCGTCACTTGACTCACTTGACACTTGGTTCAGTTTTTTGTTGATTTATAATCAAAAGCAAACATGCATGACCTCAATGGCAGGGGTTTGAAATTCGTTTGATGTACTTTGTAGTCAGGGGCAAGTCAAACTCCTAGCGGAGATTAATCTCACCCTTCGAGTATAGGGTCATCTCGTGATATTTAGCAAAAAAATAGACATAAATGAGACGTCGACCAAACTTATCCCTATCATAAGTGACACAAAATATTTGGCCCAAGTACCTCAAATTGATATTTTTGTATGTTTGCGAGTTTGGTGGCAATTGACATAGAAGCCACTAAGTGTTGTTGGCTCTCTTTCTGTGAATGTGATTAATCCAAACCAATCATCTTATCATATTCGTCAAACATGAATTATGCAGATAGTTTCACTTTCATGACTTATTTATTGGATATTATTTCGCTCTTTTCCTATTTGTGTACTCGATTGTTGTTTAACTTTATGTCTTTTCTTTTGTTTGCTAGGTTCCTTAGGCGTGGGAGTTTCAGTTGTAAGCTATGTGAGACGTCAATGAATAAAAAAAATGAAAATAACTATTCTTAAATCCCTATCAGGGTTTAAGTAAAGTTGTAGAGATCAAGTATCCTCAATTAGCCTTCTTTCTAAGTTTTCTTTCATTATATTAAGCATAGGCTTCTCAAGGGAAAAAATAATAATAATAAACCCAGTACGTACCTCATTCCTCATTTTTATAAATCACATATTGACGCAATATAAATCTAACCATTTTTCATTTTCTCTCCAAAGAAACCCTAGCCACTCTCTCCCTCTGTGAGTCCTAAAGGAAAACTTCATGGAGGGGGAAGGAGGAAGAAGCGTCACTGCTCCTCCTCCCCCTCCCTTCTTCTCGTCTTTTTCTTTTAGGTTAGTGCAAAAGTCCACTAGGGCGTTTTTAAAAAAAGCCCCTTGTGGTGGTTTCTTTTGAGCCATGGTTAGATTAAAGTTCCTCATCACCTCTTTTAGTATATGTTCTCAATCAAATCCTACTCCCAAATCCCGCATTTCGAGTGTGAGGACACCTCGTGATATTTACCCAAAAAAAATAGACATGCAAGTGGCACAAAACATTTGGCTCAAGTACCTTAAATTGACATTTTTGTATGTTTCCGAGTTTGGTGGTAATTGATGTAGAAGCCACTATGTGTTGTTGGCTTTTTTGTGTGTGAATGTGATTAATCCAAACCAATCCTCTTATCCTATTCGTCAAATATTAATTATGCAAATAGTTTCACTTTCACTATCATGACTTATTTATTGGATATTATTTCGTTCTTTTCCTATTTGTGTATGCGATTGTTGTTTAACTTTATGTCTTTTCTTTTGTTTGTTAGGTTCCTTAGGCGTGGGAGTTTCAGTTGTAAGCTATGTGAGACGTCAATGAATAAAAAAATGAAAATACTGTAAGTTCTATCATGTATTTGAATCTCAAATACTAACCTTGATCAGACATTGTGAATAAGGATCTTCTTCTCCTACTCGGCTCTTTTTCTCTATCTCTGAATAGGGTGAGTTTTCTGTTATGAGTGTGTTTTAGCCGATAGGGAAGGGCCATATTTATAAGCATTTGTTCTAGTACCTTACCTATCAAGAAGTACTCGAACAGATTTTGTTTGCTTAGGAATATGATGTTTTTAATCCATATAGAATTAGGAATCCTTAAGATACTCTTATCTCAATGTAAACGCACTATTTGATTGAGTATCCTACTGGTATTAGGATTAATACTTCTTGATCAATTAGAGCTCCTCCAAACCAAATATGATTAGAAGACCACAACTTAGACTAAGAAACAGCTTTGTCTTACAGTCTCCCACTTGGTCAAATAATCATTATGGAAAACTCGTATTGATCACTTTAAGGCCTTGTGAAAGTATATCCAGATAAAATTCCCACTAAGCCACTATCAATGAAGACAAATTATAAGAGACTATCAAGACTTATTGATCATACAGTTATCAAAGTCTTTATAATCACAGTTAAAACTCTTGAACACCACATAAGGCTTCAATCAAGATTAAAACTGTAGAATGTAGATGACCTTACTGAAAGTGCTTTAAACAAAGGTCATCTAATTCCTTTGTCCCTGTAAATGACTACCAAGGTCTCAATTTGCATAACCAAAATAGCAAACTGTCATGAATACAATCCTCTCATGGCTACCTTAAATGCATGCTATGCCATCCACATATATTCAAGTAAGCACATGTGCATATAAGCTAGATTGCACAAATATACTATATTTGAATCCTTAACCTGAAAATCATCAAAATTAAAACACCACTTTATGAATTTAAATAGAAAATAGCAAAACTAGTTAAACTACCAAAACTTGATAATAATAAAAACTCCCACTGTTTTAGTCATCCAAATGAACTGTCAATCCCATGCTAGTCACATGTCTATGAAAAACAGCATTTGGTAACCCCTTAGTAAGTGGATCTACAACCATTTCATTTGTGCCAATGTGCTCCAACACAGTATGCCTATCTCTAATCTTTTCTTTGACAACAAAGAATTTAAATTCCAGAATTCTTGATGCCTTTGTTCTTTTATTCCCTTTTGCAAAAAGTTGTGCAGCACTGTTATCATTCCAAAGTTGTATAGGTCGTTGAATTTATTCAACCACACCCAAACTAGTGATAAAGTTCTTTAACCACATAGCTTGATCAATCTTTGGTGCTTGATCAGTGCTAAATTTATCTCCCTTCGAAATAGGGACATCTGACCCTGCACAACCTTGCATGTTAAACCTTTTGAGTATCTTTTTTATATAAGTCTTTTGTGATAATCCCAACAAACCTCTCTTTCTATTTCTGCTAATTTCAATTCCCAAAACATATGAGGCTTCTCCCAAATCTGTCATGTCAAAATGTTTAGCCATAAATGCCAAAATGTTTAGCCATAAATGCCTTGCAATTGTGTAACATGGACATGTTGGTGCAAGCTAGTAGAATGTCATCTACATAAAGAATCAGAATTATGAAATGACTCCTACTCATCTTCATGTAAATGCACTCATCTAAGACATTCTCTGTAAAACCATATAGTTTAACAACTTCATTGAATCTTATATACCACTGTCTAGATGCTTGTTTTAGACCATAGATTGATTTACACAACTTGCAAACCAGATTTTCTCCCTTATCTTGAATGAAACCTTTTGGTTGTTGCATATAAATTTATTCCTCCAAGTTTCCATTCAAGAATGTAGTCTTAACATCTATTTGATGCAAGTGTAAATCAAAATGAGCTACTAGAGCCATGATCACTCGAAAGGAGCCTTTTGTTGAGACAAGTGAATAGGTTTCATTGAAATCAATTCCTTCTTTCTGTGTGAACCCCTTAGCAACCAATTTAGCCTTGTACCTATCTATCTGCCCCTTTGAAATTCTCTTCGTTTTGAACACCCACTGTCACACCGCAATTTTTATTTTTATTATTATTATTTTTTGGGAGTGTGAGGTAAAAGAAAAACTGAAACTAAAAATTTAAATATCAAGAAACACGAAGATTGAACATAAACTTTTATTTAAGTCAAAGTAATTTACATTGTAATTTTACAAGCAAAATAACAAGAAAGTAACAAACTTTCAACAAAACATTCAAAACTATCCACAACATGTTCTTCTTGTTTCCTCAGCAAAAACTAAACTTCATATTCAAAGCTTGCAATAGATTCAATAAGGGGTAAGCATTACATGCTCAGTAGGGGTCATATGTCTTATGTGATTAGTGAGATTTATAATGTACAATTTATGCAATGCATGAATGAACTTCATTTTTACCCAACCCGTTAATCTATATAATAGGGCAAGCAAATCTGCATGTCCCATACCATGCATTTTACCACTGTAATTCTAAATGCCCCATTATATAAACTAACATCCATTTCAATCATCCCATAATTCTCCTTTTACTAGTCATCTTGTCTACACCATTGATCTCCAAGCCCAAATCACCCAATCGACAATTATACCACCGATTTCC